TCATCATCATCATCATCATCATCATCATCATCATCATCATCATCATCTGCATCATCATCATCATCGTTCCCTTGTGTCATCTCCTCCTGTGCTTCGAGGGATCCCTTGGAATCCCCCTGTGCAGCCTGCGCTCGCGACACGTTTCCCGGTCCAGTCCCGGTCCAAAACGAATCGGGTCTGGGCGAGCCCCGCTGCTGCACAGCAGCACTGGCAGCTTCGGGGTTGGCAAACCTGGGTGGCACCGGGTTGGAGGAAGAGAAACCGAAAGAAATGGTCTGCCAGCCTCGGAGTGAACCGACCTTGAACAAGCAGCAAGCACAAACAGCAAGAATGCTAGCCAACACACCAAGAATCAAGACACAGAAGACCACGATGTATATAGGGTAGGTATCACAATATCACTGTTTCAAGGACCAGTTATTTTTGACATCTATGGTTTCGTGTTGATGATCAATCCATAGCCTGGCTTGCTCAAGTGCCAAGAACATTGGACAGCGTGAACTACCAACCACTACTGCACGAAGCAACCAGCAAGTACAAAAAAAGATGTGCAAAAGTACACGGCGCCACTTGCATTTGTCAGAATCAAATGTGACATCCGAGACTTTCTGGAGACAAAAACAGAATGTATCTCATGAGTGATCCCTGTGATCATTTCATTCATGGGGACTCGTTTGGTAGCTAAATATGCAAAGGAGGATCCTGAATGCATGTACCAGCACCCTCACTGGCTAGGTCACCAATGGTTCGACCTCCAACAACAGGGCCTTTCCCAGACCTGTTTGTCGTCGGGTGCTGGTTTAGTATCCCTCATGTTCGTTCAAACAACCACCGACCACGACACTTCAGAGCTTGACAAACAGGGCATATCCCTGCCTAGAACATGTGATGCATTAACCCCCCTATGTTTTAGGAGAAAAACACACATCTCCCTGCCACCAAACAGATCCCGATGGACAGCACCACCGATGTATTTTGAACATCTGGACTGGGGTCATCCAGTCAGACCAGCATCTTTAAATAAGGCTAAAAGCTAAAACGTAGCATTCCAAGACCTTTAAAACCATGGTGGTTGGTATCCTAGGGTAAAGATCGTCGACTAGACTCCCAGAACCCTGGTGGTTGAAAGATACAAGTGGTCCACCAGGAATCTAGGATCTCACCCTCCCAAACGCCACCCCTGGACCCTGGAGGTCTGTGGTGGGGCCACTTGGGTTGTGCACGGAGCGTCGGCAAGTCCAAATCCGTACCACCACAACATCGAGCTTTAGCAGGGGTCCAGACCCGAAGCTTCCCCCGCGAAAGCCATGAGTGGAGGGCCCTTGGTATGCCTCCGTAAGGTGACTGAAGAGGATCAATAACGACCAGCAAAGCACATGAACAGCAGGTATGACAATGGATAAAATCGGTCTGGATCATGATGCTCCGCTGGGGGCATACAAGAAGTGGAATAGAAATGATGATTGATGATGTGCGAGGATGGAAGAGGAAGGAAAAGGAAGGATAAGTGATGAACAGGAAGGGAAAAAAATAAGGAAAATGAAGCAGAAATGATTTAAAACATTAATTAATTAATAAATTGAACGAACGAACGAGCGAGCGAGCGAATGAACGAACGACACTTCCTCACTGTCCAGAACCTGGATACTGAGGCTGCCGAGCTGTACATGGCCATAGCCCAATGCCTTTGTGGTCGCCTGCAAATGTGACCACTCCGCGACACGTAAATCAAACGTAAACTCAGCGAATCGAAATGATTCGAATCACCATTGACTTCATGGTGTTCTCACAAGAATCATTATTTCGCTCACGAATCGATTTTAGACAAGTCAACCATTGATAAAACTGTTTTTGAAGGCTAGGGCTACTAGGGTGATTTACCTGCAGGCTTCAGGGAAATTCAAATCACCCCTAACCAACGTTAGATCCCTAGCCTTCCTGGGAAACTTTGATTTCGGACATCCCTGGACATCCATGAAACGACAATTGGGACTGCCATATGCCGATCAGTTGGGGTGCTTGAAAAGAGGTCAATGTACCTGGACCCGACTTCATTCAAACATATGCCCAAAATGAGACTTTGACGTGACCCTTTTAAAACATGTACTGCAGGTAGGCATACACATGGAAACCCAAACAAACAGAAGCAAACAACCAGAAGCAGTTCTGGTTGTTCTATTGTATGACAAGAACCTTTATGTATACGCATTGAGAAATGGCTGTTTGCCAGGGGAACATCCAACTGTCTCTGGTTTCCAGCTTCGACATAAAACACTCCCGAAAACATCGAAAACTAACGCCCTGACCGCCCTGCTCCCTGGAAGAGTGTTTTCCTCTACAAACGCAGGGGTTCTCAAAGTCCACATGCAGCGTCAGCCGAAAACACCGAACAGCAGCCGAGCCTCGGCTGAGTTTTTTGGTCCTTCCAAAGCCTGGTCCTTCATCATGGAACCCCCATTCAACAAGATCTTTAAAATCCATAAAACCAATAGAACCTGCATCTGGTTTTAGAGCCCCCTTCATGATCGATTGCGCCTGTGAATACTTTCCTGGTCCAAGAGGACACACACATGGAGGGTTTCAACAACTTACATGTATATGGTGTAAAGCCCCCACGCCATGATGGCTATCCCACTGTATATAGTTTGATGTATCCCGTCTCTTGCAAGATCTTCCGCCTCCAGTCTGGGTCGGATTGGTCGCAATTCCTCCTCCGTCTGACCTTCTGTGAAGGAGCCCTCCTACTATGAGTCATGGGAAATTCCACTCACCAGTGGTCTCATTGTTCTTTCCTTCGCCTCTACTAGCCACTGGGGGCCCCTGGTCTTTCTTCTCGTTCCTTCGTCTTCGGCACGGCGCCACGGTCCATGACCCGTCTCGACCCGACACCGCGGCCTCGCGCCCGCGGCCTCGCGCCTTGTCCCGATTCAGTCGAAGGCCTTTGATGTCTCCAGCAGGGCCCAACCACTCTCGGATCTCATCCTCCTTGGCCTGGTGTGGACGGAGGGTCTGATGGACCCGTCCACATCTCGAGAAAAAAGGAAGGTCAGTCCGGATTCCGGCGTCTGCGTGAAGCGTCTGCGTGAAGGAAGGTCCAAGCATGAAGAAAATGGGATGTTTGGGTGCTCTACAACATGCGCTTTCACGGTGAAACTAAACAGAATCCCCGCCCGAAACAGACTAACTATACCCTCAGAATCCGATGCGAGCGAACGGACGCTTTCGTCCGCCGATGCATGCGGACTCAAGCGGCACGTCCGCCGAGAAACCGGTCTGACCCCCATAGATGTCCCGGGAGGGGCGATGCGGACGCACAGACGATGGATGCATCTATGGAATGGCACATCTCAAAACATCTCAAAAATTATCAAAACCTTATCCATTGTAAGGAAATAGTTACAGAATAAGTCAAATATCTCATTTTGCTGAAATTGGTGATACAAATAACAATGTTTAAGAAGGACAAAGACCAGCTTTGCTCATCGTCCCATGTCCCGGGAATGATCGGGGCTTCAATCGCTTCAATGTCCGGTACACCTATTTACGGTACACCAATATCGTCCCAATATCATCCCGTGAAGAAAAGAAAAAGACTAATTTCCCTCCATGTGAGGTGATGTGAGGTGTCTAATTAAAGATCGGTGACAGAATCTCGCAGAAGAAAAACGGATCCCTTCGTCCCTTCGTCCTTGAGGTGTCTATTTCCTCGTGAAGAGTTGAGGAGGTCCAGGTAGACGCTCCAGAAGAACATGGATATGCTTTTTCATGAGTAGGGAGTAGGGCCCACATAAATATAAGGTGCCCCCCTTTTTTGAGGGAATGACACCCACCGACGAAGGAAAAGCCATCACCAGTTCCGTGGTCGGACCGGCACAGGTCCGACCAAACCCTCACCAGTCCCATCCACCAGTGGACCAAACCCATCGAAGAAGCATCCGATCCGCTCCTTGAAAGGCAAGTTGGTGATGAAGACCGAGCGCTCGTTGGCCGCCTGAGGGACACGGACCGGACGTTCTGCGGAGGTGGTTTAGGTTTACTGAGGGATCTTATAGATAGGTGGTACCGTCCACTACCTACCTAAATAATAGAGAATTACTTTGAGGTGGGTACACCCACCTAATTCTATTAATTCTAAGAGTCCGGACTGCCTAAACAACTTGGAAAATGGGGGTGGGTGGTATTCCTGCGGATGCACCGGGAGAAGCAAACAACTTCTCAAGCACCCAGCTGCAAGAATGGACATGGATGGAAATGGTTGCATATATAAAGGAACAGGAACCGACTAGGAGCAAAGGGTTCTTGGCCTTACTACTAGGAACAAGGACGCTACTAGGGGCTCCTGGCCTTACTACTAGGAACAAGGACGCTACTAGTAACAAACGTAACAAAGGCTCAACCCTTCCCGGTCCTTTCCCCCTCCAAGTGGGGAAAGGACGACATATATAAGGGCTTCACCTGGGCCGTTACGGGCGGGGCCGTCACACCATACAATATCAAAAAGAGAAACAGAAAACACATCTAACTTGTGTGACCGCCCTACCTCTCTTTTAGAGTCACAATAACTACTACCACAAATACTTGCTGAGGTGGTTGACTGCTTGCTTCACCACCAAAATAACACATGGCACATCTGGCACAAGCAAAAATGCACGCTCTCCCCAATCTGAGTTCTACACCTTCCTAAATCTGAGACTCTAACATATTTTGGAATAATACTATTCTGGAACCTTTGACTCTCAACGAAAATATTATTCTGACCCCCCCACCACTCCCTGTTTGAAATAATATCGATGTGTAAACTATTTTGAACGATTTATTTCAGTACAGTACTGCCACCAGACGTGGTACATAAACAGCACACGACGACGAAACAGGTTGACTCTACATGGTTTGCTTGCCTTGGAGACTTACAAGTGAGTGGCAGGTGTGGTCGGGTGGTAGTAATATAAGGCAGGTCTAT